GCACACAAATCGTAACGATTTCTCATTTTAATCAATTAAAAAGTCAGCGATACCGATCCCGAGACCGATTTCGATGCTAACTGTAAACCGCTGACACTTGCCGAAAATATGCCGAAAGTCTCGAACTCGGACTTCGAGTCTTGAGTTCGGAGTTTCAGTTTGCAGTTTGCAGTTAAAATCGGACCCTTGCAGTTTGTTTGATTAATGAGGTGAAATGTTGTGAAATATTGTCGGAGGCTTTGGCTTGGAAGCCGGGGATTGGAAAGGGAGGAGGCAGCGACAAATCAAATGGAAATCAATACCTACATGAAACATAACGCCTCTCATCCTGCGCCGACCCCGTTTTAAATAAATGAGCCCGTGGAGACGCCCCCAATCGCTGGCCCCTCTTGGATCTCTTGGCCTACCCTTATATGGGCAGACAACTCTTTGGAGTTGTCAAAAATACCAAGCCACGAAATAAAGAATTGCAAAACTCCCAAAAAACACAGCAGTCTCGGTGTCTGCTCATGGACAGAACAAACAATTCGGCAAGTGTGAACATGTAAGTGTCAGAGCCTCAGTTCGAGTCTTTCGAGCTGAATGCAGCCGTATCGCAGATGGGAAATCGTGCAGGTGTTTCCAAAGTAGTGGCTATAATGGCTGTGCCACTAGCAGTTCGCCCAATTCCTGCAAAAGGCGTGAAAACTTAAATCTACTGAAACTAAATCAATATGCACGCGGCGTATACTTAATCAAGACATAACAAATCACCAAAAATCGGGAGAGAAATGGAGCATAGTTTGGGAAATAGGCAAGAAAATACGAACCTTTAATGCTCTAATAAATTAAAAAACACGTACATACAAATAATACTGGCTATATTATATTTCCCATAAATAATCTGCAAGAAAATAAATCTTATTAAACGAACAGTAATTAAATAAATTAGTCCGGCTGTCTGCAAAGACCAAAATACCCTTTAAAAGATTCCAACTTGGATATACTTTCAAACCGATCGATCTGCCCCTAAAGCTAATCCTCCAACTTGGTGGGCTAATCACCATGGTTAGAGCTAATCGCAGGCGGAGATCAAAGAGGAAATCTTCATGGCTGCCATGGGAAATTATTGCTAATCAGCTGGAGGCTGATAGTTGGCGAAAGCCAAGAAACGCCCATTGGCCAAACGACGGTTAAGCCAATGGGACTTTAAAAGCGACAATCGCTCAAATTAGAGGGTACTTCGAATACCCCAAAGCACAAATTGAAGTTTTCGCACCTTTACGCAATCATCCTGGCAAACTCTGAAATTGCAATAATGTCTGGAAAATCGGTAAGATGTCGACCCAGTTTAAAATGGAACAGACGGGAGACGGGAGATCAGCTCTTTAACTCTCAGCCTGGGTTCACAACGCTTTGTGACCGCATTAAATTCTAATAACTCGCTATTATGACATGATAGTCACGTATTAGGCAAAACAGCAACCGAGTAACCGCATAACCAATAACCTACAACTCAGGCCCCACGACAAACTGCATTCAGAATTATGAGGCGATCGGCAACCGGTTGGACGACCAACCTCAGACTGGGCCACTGAAACTGGGAGGAGAATCTCGAGGGGCAAGCAATATTAATGCGCAAATGCCAAAATATTTGAGGCAACCAAAAATTTGCATTCGCATGGAGTATGGAAAATATTGCAAGCCACAGTGAATAAGAAGTCGGGTATGCAAATAAGAGTTTTCCCGCGCCGAAGTACCCTACCTACCATAACTGATCGAAATTTCACGTGATACTAAACATCTTTTGCACTTGAAGCCGCAAAACTTAAGCCCTTTCGCGAACAAATGAGCAATTTTATTTTTAAAACCACATTTTGGTGTTTTACACCCTTACAAATTACTGGGTGTAACAGAAACAAACAATTTACATAACAAAAGGCGACTATTTGGTCGCCTGCAGGCGAGTTCCAGTTCCAGTTAAAGATCTGGCTCCAGGCTCACTTTTGGTTTCCATTTTTTGTTTTTCTCGTCTTTTATTTGGAGCGTTGACACTTTTCCACACGCCCACACACATGGCAGATTGTTCTAATGGCTGGCGAAAAATCTGCATAGGTATCTGAGCTGGAAACAATATTGCAAGGGGCTAAATGAAAAGCTTGCTCTGATCGATTTGTGAGCGGCAGCGGGCTGCTTAATTTGGCTTATGTTTCATATTTGCCCCGGGGCAGAATCGTTTAGTGCTCGGCCCGTTGATTTATTTCGCCCGTATTTGGCCAGACCGAGGTCCACTCACGACGAGGGTGTTGCGTTGGTGCTGTGCTGCTGTGCTGCTGTTGCGGCCTCCTGTTGCATGTTGCTGCTGCTGGTTGCAACCCAAAAACTTGAACTTCGACTTTCGAAAACAACGGCCCGGCTACGGCTGACTAATGAGAGAATTATGCAAAGAGATAGAACGGGCGCGATGGTGGAGAAGCCGGGATCGAGAACTGGGATCGGACATTTTTGCGTGTCTCGGTCTCGGACTCGCTTTATTCATTAGGCTGAAACTTCGCCCGCACCTCGCAGCTAATTGCCAGTATCTCCATCTAGAAGTGAAACCACAACCAAATGCCAGCTACATCAACATGAACACACATCTTATCGGACCAACCAATTAAGACACACAAAAACTTAGCTCGACGGCTGAAAATTGTCAGCAAATCGAAATGAAAATCAAAGTCAGTCGAATAGACAGGCAGCCGTTTTAATTTGATTTGATGTGAGGCCGCCGCAGAGCCAAGCGAAAAAAATGCGGGGAGAACCTCTAGCATCCAATCGCATACAACATTTATACACACAAAAAAAAGGTCTCTACATATTCTGGGCTTTTTTATAGCGCATACAGCTCCGTCCCAAAAAGGCACATTCGTATTCTTTTTGTAATTTCATACATTTAGGAGCCCTTGAACAATCAATGTGCAGTATTTTTGGATCATTATTCAAAATACGGGTTTCTTTTCGTGTACTTAGGTCTGTCCCACTGGCAATCGAGTGCATTTTAGTTGCTCGCTTTTCGATTTCGTTTGCGATTAGGCTACGCCAAAAACATAAGCCAGCAGCCGCGATATTTGACTGCCTATAATGAGCCAGCAACATGCTCACTTGCTAAATTCAATTGCTAAATTGCCCCTTGGCTTTGCCGACCAGTGTGCCCGATTGGCAATTGGCAACTGCCAACTTGTATGTTGCTTACTTGAATTGAAGGCTCCAAACTGCCACCTGCAGTGACATCTAAGCCATTGTTTTGCGATTGCTCCCAATTTTGAAGTTCCGGTGCGAATTCCCAAAGTTTGAAAACTAATATATTTAAATTAAGGAAATGTTCCTTAACTTATTTTCTTATTGAAAATATATTTAGGCCACGCTACTGTGTGGGAAAGATGCGAATCGAGCGATGTAAACAAGTTGGACATAACTGAAGTTGGTCGGGTTATAGTGGCGTGAAGGTCTCAACTCAGCGCTGGCTAGAAAAAGGAGCTAATTGAATGCAATTGCGAAGAAGAGATGAGATAAAGTATTCAACCCACGCAGTCGACTACGTCTCTTCTGTAGGTATTTTCACGTTCAAAGGTTATGACGTTGTCGTGTCAACATTTATTATTTATTGTTGTAGCCTCTAGCTAGCCGAAAAGGGTTTGCCCCAAAACAAAGCCAACTAATGCGCCCACTCCTCCACTGTCTCCAGTCTACAGTCCTCAGTCTTCTGTTGCCTGTCGGTGACTTTTGAGCTTTGAGCGTTGTTTGAGCCGCAGTTTTCAGTTCCTGTCCCGTCCTGTCAGTTATTAATGGAGCGCCATTGTCGGCCCCTCTTTGACCCACAAATGGCGCTTTGATTTTGCCATAGAAATTAGCATTCAATGCAATTTACTTTGCCATGCCAATCAACGCCCTCCGCCAAGCTTAAGGAAAAAGGTAGTACGCGTTCAAGGAGAAACCTCAATTTTAGCCGGAAAGCTATGCGAAGAACTGTTTCTATTCCTCGGAGAACAAGAAGATTATGCGCTGTTATGTGCGCTATTGTGTGCGTAAAAACAGCATCGAACTACTTTAGATGACAAAGAAAGCTGGTCCCAAAGAGTTGCCACTGAAAATTAATCAAATCATTAAAAGTAACAGCGACGAAGATCCAATATTGCATACATTTTATACCATAATAAATCTACCAAATGTACCATTCTGTTAAAGTCTATGTATACAAATCAATATTTTCCCAACAGCATACATATATTTGCTTCTTAATATTTCTTAATATTTAAATACTTTTCATATAATTCTTCCCAGTGCATCGCCACAGTTCTGGTTGTCGTTGTCTCTTGTCTCTATTCAAGATGTAGGTGGCGACATCGACATCACTTACGCTACACAGATCCCGACATTAGATAGTCGCTCTGCTCTTTTTCGTCGGTCCTCAGTCTTTACAGAATTCTTCACAATTCTTCCGCCCCTTTCTTTCGGGGCTTCGAGTTCCCGGCTCCCCTAGTTATTCGCAATCGTGCGCGTTTGTTGATTGTTAGAAGCGAATCGCGAAGGACTGAAAAGACCGACGAGCGGCGTCTGCAGACAGAAGACTCAAAGATGAGGCCTATAGGCTCAAACCTTGAGCGAAGACGGTGCGGCTGGCTTGTTGGCGACGTCGTTGATTTGAATGTTTCATCTGCCGCAGCAACAATGAGAAAAGCAACAGCATAAACAAACAGAGCGTGCCTTTTAATTGCGGTGCCGCCAACAGACATTAACATTAACATCAACATTAGAGGAGTCCCAACTAAAACAGCCGCAAATGTTGATGATGTACCTTGATTACCCAGTTGTTTCTCCGTCTGTGTGGGCGGTGCAGCTGCACTGGATGGCTCAGATGGGTGGAAATGGAAAAGCTGGCAGGATTTGCACACAGGAAATACAAAATAATAAAAAAGGAAACGATACACATATCGCGTTCTTATTCGAGCAATGTTTTTTTATTATCTTGTAATTTTTTGTAATTTGTAATTGGAAAATTTGTTATATCGATTGTATACTTATGTTATTATTCGTAAGCCCTTAAAATTTCATGTTTTATTCTGGCCTTTTATATATCAGTCAGAATAAACTTGATGAAGGTTGCCCTTATTCATACCACCAATACAAATACCACCAGCCTATACTCCATTTAAGTTGTTTGCCATAACTATTATAATTATAAGAATTATTATCGTCATAACTCTCTTTCTTCTTTTTCTTTGAAGTTTTACATTTTCTTTCCCCGTTTTCATGTATCGAACATATGTTACACTTTCTTTTACCCTTCTTGGTTGTCAAACATATTTTACACTTCTTCGTACCTTGTTTCGTAACCCAACACTTTTCCGTTTTTTTATTTTCCTCTTCCTCCATTTTCCTTAACTGTTCCTTTCTTCTTTCCGCTTCCTTTCCTTTTTCCTCTTCTTTTATCCTTTCCTCTTCTTTTCTTCTTTCCTCTTCCATTCTTCGCTCCTCTTCTTTTCTTCTTTCCTCTTCCATTCTTCTTTCCTCTTCTCTTCTCCTTTCCTCTTCTTTTCTTCTCTCCTCTTCTTTTCTTCTCTGCTCCTCTTTTCTGTTTTTCTCCTCCTCTTCCTTTCTTCGTTCCTCCTCCTTTTTCCTTTCTTCTTCCTTTTTTCTTTCCTCTTCCTTTCTTCTTTCCTCTTCCTTTCTTTTTTCCTCTTCTTTTCTGCTTTCCTCTTCTTTTCTTCTTGCCTCTTTTCTCCTTTCCTCTTCTTTTCTCCTTTCCTCTTCTTTTCTTCTTTCTTCTTCCTTTCTTCGTTCCTCCTCCTTTTTCCTTTCTTCTTCCCTTTTTCTTTCCTCTTCCTTTCTTTTTTCCTCTTCCTTTCTTTTTTCCTCTTCTTTTCTCCTTTCCTCTTCTTTTCTTCTTGCCTCTTCTTTTCTCCTTTCCTCTTCTTTTCTCCTTTTCTCTTCTTTTCTCCTTTCCTCTTCTTTTCTTCTCTCCTCTTCTTTTCTTCTCTGCTCCTCTTTTCTGTTTTTCTCCTCCTCTTCCTTTCTTCGTTCCTCCTCCTTTTTCTTTTCTTCTTCCCTTTTCCTATCCTCTTCCTTTCTTCTTTCCTCTTCCATTCTTCTCTCCTCTTCTTTTCTCCTTTCCTCTTCTTTTCTTCTTTCTTCTTCCCTTTTTTTCTCCTCCTCTTCCTTTCTTCGTTCCTCCTCCTTTTTCCTTTCTTCTTCCATTTTCCTTTCCTTTTCCTTTCTTCTTTCCTCTTCCATTCTTCTTTCCTCTTCCATTCTTCTCTCCTCTTCTTTTCTCCTTTCCTCTTCTTTTCTCCTTTCCTCTTCTTTTCTTCTTTCTTCTTCCCTTTTTTTCTCCTCTTCTTCCTTTCTTCGTTCCTCCTCCTTTTTCCTTTCTTCTTCCCTTTTCCTTTCCTCTTCCATTCTTCTCTCCTCTTCTTTTCTCCTTTCCTCTTCTGTTCTTCTTTCTTCTTCCCTTTTTTTCTCCTCCTCTTCCTTTCTTCGTTCCTCCTCCTTTTTCCTTTCTTCTTCCCTTTTCCTTTCCTCTTCCTTTCTTCTTTCCTCTTCCTTTCTTTTTTCCTCTTCTTTTCTCCTTTCCTCTTCTTTTCTCCTTTCCTCTTCTTTTCTTATCTCCTCTTCCATTCTTCTTTCCTCTTCTTTTCTCCTTTCCTCTTCCATTCTTCTCTCTTCGTCTTTTATCCTTTCTTCTTCTTTTCTTCTTTCTTCTTCTTTTCTTCTTTCTTCTTCTTTTCTTCTCTGCTCTTCTTCTCTTTTCGTCTCTTCTTCTTTTATTTTTTCCTCTTCCTTTTTTTTCCCGTCTTCCCTTCTTATTTCGTCTTCTTTTTTTCTTTCCTCTTTCTTTTTCCTGTCATTCTCAGGATTCTGGTAAACTTGGCAAATGAACAAAACTTGGTCTTCACATTGATTTGTCTGATATAGTCCGCCTATTATACAAACGCATTGCGCGTTATCTTTTTTTGGCTGGCCTTTGTTCCATTTCAAAAATGGTACTTTGCGCCCGGAGACCAACGATATGTATTGGCCTTGATCGGTTAGATCAGATACGTCGAGCCAATACGACCACTCGGTCTTAAGTTTTTGACTGATAAGGTGCAGCTCATTCTCGTTTTGTGGCGACGCCAAGTGACCGCCCATCTCGCGACATTTTCTCGCTGCATCGAACCAATTCAGTCTGACATGCATCTCGATGTAAAAGTACCTCGAGCCCACTTTCTCAAATTGTGGATGGAGTGATCCCTTTGACGAAACATTTCTGGTATCCAGTGAACATTGAAGAGCTTTCAGTGCATTCTGTAAGGCTTTTTCTAAAGATAATTTTTTGACCTTTAGCTCCAACTTAGCATGCAGCTCCATGAAATAACCTTCCATTTCAACCTGACGCGCTTTCAATTGCTTATCAATGACTTCTTGGTGTCCTTCAATCCTGTCCAGAACTCCCTGCGTTTCATTGAAAATCTGTGAGTTGGCGGTGTTTCCCATCTTTTGCTGCTTTACAATGTTCTCAAGAATTGGTAATACGTCGACAAGACACATTTCTTCAAGTTCTTTAAGTGGATCGTACGATGGAATTATGGGACGCTGAAGAATATTGATTTCAGCAAAAACGATATAAAAACCGTAGGAAATAAAGGCGCACACGAAATAGGTCGCGTAATTGAACATGTTGAGTCAGTATAACGAACTGATTCTAAGACGTTGTTTCATATTTATTTTTCTCGTGAGCTAATTTTTCACACCTCGTATTCAGGTAATACACCGGAACGATCGTATTTCTCATATATTTTATTTTACTACACACCATATAAGAGTAAGAGATCATCTCGCTTATAGGAAATCCGGAGTAATTAATCACATGGTGTACAGCAATAGCATAATCTATTAATTTAGTGCAAGTTGGCAAATAAAAAAAAATTTTTCGCTGCACTTCCCATCCATCATTTGTCCGCCGTGTAAGTGAACACAGCGCTGATGAATTTGCACCTGAGGCCTAAGTTTATGCCATTTAAAGAAGGGCGGATTCCTTCCAGTTGCTAAAGAAACGAATTCGCCCCATTTGGCAATGTCGTTGATGTCCAGCCAGAAGTCACGGCTTTCCTCAGGGATGACCTCAAGTTCTGTACGGATAGCATCTAACTCCTCCTCGCTCTGGATTGTCGCCAGGTGACCACCCATATCATGGCACTGGCTCGTCGCTTTAAACCAATCCACTTTGTGTTTCTTCTCGATGAAAAAATGCCTCCAGCCAATCTTCTGAAACTTGGCAGGAATTTCGCTATTCGGCATCACTTTTTTGGCTTCCACAGAAAGGTTTAGGGCTATCTTCGTCTCTTGCAATTGTAACTCCAAACCTGCCAAATCACTTTCAATATTTTTCATATTCTTTATCTTCGCTCTTAGAGCATTAAATTCGCTATCCATATTTCCCTTAATTACTTTTAATTTATCGTTTATTTCTTTCTCCTGACCTTCAATCTTAGCCAGTTGTTTCCGGGTTTCATTTACTTGGACTGCGCTAGCAGAGTTCCAGTGGTTCTTATGGTTGTTGGAAATGTAATTAAGCACTGGCGCTAGTTCGACAAGACACACTTCCTTATGCGTTGACATTCGAGGACACACATCATTTGCATGGACTCCATGAAGACCGCAGGCCATTAAGGCGTACAGAAAATAGTTTGCGAGCTGGAACATTCAGTGTTATAACTTGATAGAGTAAATGTTACTTAGGAACTAAATATATATTTATTTTGTTGAAGAGTATCGTACGAGCAATTTGTCACACTCCCTAAAATGGTAATAAGCACTAACCGATTTTATACGAAGAAATTGTGAGATAGGTAAATAAATTTATGCATTTTTAAAGATTTAGTAACCACAAACCAGCTGCTTTGCAGCGGTCTTGTTGTTAGTACATTTGATCTTGTTTTCCCAGCGATTCATATTGCATTGGAGACACAGACCGTTTTAATCCCATGTGGGGATCCACAAATAAATCAGTCGCTGGCAAATTGCTCAATTATAAATTGCACAACTCTGCGAACCCGACTCCTTTTCCATATTCCGCGCTTTTCCGCGTCTCAGCGGTTGCCCAATGTGGAAATTAGCATTTTGGCAATGCCTTGGCAGCAAACTGCTGTCATGTAAGCGACTAATTAACATGTCACTCAGTTGCAGCAGCAACTGCACCACAGCAACACATTGCCACTGCTACGGCCACATCACCAACATCGGGGTCTTGCCCCTTTCGTCTCCACTTATTGACCATTCACTAAATTTACGCATTAGGCTGAAGTTGAATGGAACTAGAAGCCGGGGCTTCCAGCCCCCTTAACCCCTACAAACCCCCGTTTCTTAGCAACCTGTTGCTTTGGGTAGTATGAAAATTTTTCACGAAGTTGCCAAAGCGAAGCAAAAATAAAATTGCCGAAAAAAAGGTTTAACATTTCCAATTTATTACCCTAAATATGCTGCTGGGGAACCGAAGAGGTTAGATTGTCGCTGATTTTGCACAGAGAGCAATTATTTTAAACGGGATTGATTTAACATTATGTTTGCAAAACGAAAATAAAATTTTTTTGCTGTGATAATTGACATTTCTTTCTATTATGCAGTATTTCAACATGGTTCTGCAATATTAGTTAATATTAGTTTTTTATTAGTTATTTCAATGATTCAGTCAAATCAATTATTTAATTGCATTTACAGCATTACTGAGAAACGACGATCTAGAATAAAAATAATAATGCACTAATACATTTTTCTGTCTGTGAGTCTCTTTTTCGAGGTAATCTCTTGGCTGTCGTTTGCACGGCGCTAATTATCTCTGCTAATGATGCTTTAAAAGGCAGTCGTCGACGACAGGCGGTCCAGCGGCAGCGATAGATATTGCCTGGGATTCAGGTTCGGCAACTGGACAGTCTGGTCCTTCTCCTCTGCGGCTCCCCACCTGGATCCCCTTGATCCTCTAGATACCCCGAGAACCCCGAAAACCCCAGCCCCTGACGATGCTCCTTTCGCTCATCGCATGAGTAATTGACAATTTGCTGAAGCCAGCGTGTCTCCTCTCCTCTACGTGACCACCGCTGGAAGATCGGGTCGGAGGATGCCCCACTCAGTCCCTTCCCTTCGACGGTATTTGTATATGTTAATTGTGTGACTAATGACAGCCAACTTGTCATATTTTTATCAACACGCGGGGTTAACATTTGTGTTTCGTTTCCTTTCGTTGCGCGTTTTGGCCTCAGGGGAGTTCAAATCCCGTTCTAATCAGGGCTGGAAGCTTTACTTGGGAACTTGCTCAAGTTGTTGGTTTCCTTAGAGGTAGCTGACTTTAAAACTCACTAGGAGCATAAGTAAGCAGCATTAAAGAAGGTTATATTTATTATCTGATTAATTGAATATATTATAAACTTCAATTTATACTAGTACTTAAAAAAACACAAGCCGAATACCTAAACTTTACATGTGGAATTTTTTCCGCATGAGTACAGCGCTAAATAAACTGAATATATGATTCCTGTAAGTTTTGAGCACCCCTGGCACAGAGACATTCGCTTCGCGTCATCGTCGATCGCTAATCTGGGTTACTGTGTGTCAAATTAACGCTCTTTAGGAGCAATATCCAAGATATGGATGCGAGCTACAAGACGCCCACAGACTCACGACGACACACACACCAAGATCAAGCCTCTTTGAATAAGACTAACAGCTCCAACAAACTAAAGGAAAAAGAAATAAAGAAAAAATTCGTTAGTTCAAAAAACTCAATCAAATGTCGAAACTTGAAAATCGTGATCATGGTCCTGGCTCTGTCCGCCCGACCCGCAGTCCTTTCCTTCGGTTTCTTAATGGTTGTTGGCTCTAGGCGGTAGCTGCAGCAACAACACCAAGTCCAACAGAAGTACAAAAAAGCAAAAAACAAAGAAAAACCCAAGGAAAAACAACAAACGGTAGCTACAAACAAGACAAAAGACAAACTTATCGTTTGAATTATCGGCATTCATTTGCATTTCGGAACCCTGCGATATCCCCTCGAATCCCCTTTTTCTCCTACCCATTAAATCTGGGGACATTCAGCGAAACAGAGACGAAAATAGTGGCAAATGAAACAAACAAAGAGAAAAAAAAAACCCCCGGAAAATCATTCGATTCGAATGACAATTGTCCTGGGTTTGAAATATTGAGAGAGCTAAGGGGTAGTAAAAATATCACGTATAACAAATACAAATGGATAAATCTTACACGACTCATAGTGGGTGTACCCTAAATAATATTATGTTCCCCGTTCTTAAAATAAAAAAAATTGTTAATTTACTTTTTAAATCATGTTTTGGGTTGCATATTTCTTAACCATTTTTAATGATTCCTCCACACACATAAATGGATTTGACTACACTGGCACATCAATGATAAAATGAATTGTTTAGTTGCATATTTTTGTTGTTTTATATCATGAAATACCATAAAATGAACCCTTTGTTTTGCTATAGGGTATCAAAACCACACACATTCGGTTCGGACTTTCATGCTCCATCGCTCACTTGACTTGCGTTGCCTTTTACAGTTAGCCACCGAGGGCCCCGTCTATAAGTCGAAAAAAAACCGTTGGGCCTTCCCAGCTAAGGAAATTAGCATGCGCGAGGCTCCTTTACTTAAAAAAACAACATGGGAGGCTAAGGAATGGAGGGGGGAGGCCTGGAATGTCAACGGCAGCTGAGATTTTTCCTAGCTTTTCTCCAGCGCAAGGATTTCCACACTGAAGTTGTTGCTGCTGCAGGAAAACGTGATCGTTTTAACATTTCAGCTCGTTGTCCGCTGGTGATTTTGAGTATCTTTTAGCAATTCTAATGTTTTTGTTGCTGCTGCAGCTGCTCAGCGGAGCTAAGCAAAAAAAAGATGAGGGAGCGGAAAGGCAGTCGGTTCTCAGAACGATACCACATGCTCCAATACCGTACGATGAGCGGTTTATCCGCCGCTTTCCCGACGATCTTTTGATCGATTGTAGGTGAATTCGTACATTCCTTTTCGCCAGTAAAGTTTTAAGTACGTCGTGTACTTCAAAGATTCAAGTATTTTATGATATATTAAAAAAAAAGCTAAAAATTGTCGGTGCACAGATCTAGGTAAGTTGTATAATGATTTATACTTTTAATAGCGATCGTTACGGTTTAATACAGCGCTTCTTAAAATATCTAGTAGGTCTAGAACTAAGCACAGAATCAGTTAGTTAGAAACACTAGCCCTCGCTGGTGATTGCCACTCAATATGTTCAAGTACCCAACTTATTTCTTGTACCTTTTTGTCCTGTTAGATCCGCAGGCAGCCCAGGAAAATAGCTGCCACAAAGTTCCACTAAGCGAACGAATTAAACAACGCGGAGAATTCACCCTTGTCGATTTTGAACCACAGCTAAAGGCAATTTTGAAAAATCCACATATAGAAGTGCTCGGCAAAATTGAAGGTCACGTGGGGCACACAGTAAATAAAATACAGTCCATGCAATCAGTGACTCTAAACCAATCGAAGGCTTTGCTGGCTGATTTGGATCTACAAAGCAAATTGGAATATCTGGACGCAGCGCTGCAGAAGGCAAACCAAGCCCTGCACTGCTCACTCGAAAACAAAAAGGTCACGTCCACTGGGAAACCCCCTCCGGAATTCCAGAAGTTGGGCTCGAGGTATTTTTACATCGAGAGGCATGTCAGGCAGAATTGGTTCGATGCCGCGGATAAATGCCGTAGGATGGGCGGTCACCTGGCGACGCCCCAAGACGAGGATGAACTGTACCTCATCCGGAAGGAGCTTATAGCCAGATGGTATTGGCTAGACATTAGCAACCTGGTCAATAAGCACCAATACATTTCTCTGGCATCCGGAAAATCAGTTTCATATCTAAATTGGCGAAACGGGGAGCCCAAAAACAGTTCTAATGCAAACTGTGCCTATTTATACGCCGGGGATTATTACACATATCATTGCAGCGACAGAAACTATTTCATTTGCCAGGCTGCGTAAGCAGTCTAAGCGATTTATTCAAGATTTCACATCGACTTCATGTATGTGCCTCGTAATCTTAATGAGTGTAAATAAAGCCGCCAAAGTAATATTCAAATGTTCCGATTTCGCTACTTGGTGGCTTTCGACATGAGTTGGTGATGGCACCACTCCCTGATAAGTTCGTCTATTCAAGATCTGCCGATCGGGTTAACAAGCTGCCCGCGTGCAAATGATGCTATTAAAGTGGCATTTAAAATTTAAGTTGCAGTTAAATCGCGCCACTCTCTCTCCGCCCTCTCCCCAACCTTATCTTACCCAGCGTTTGGCTAAGCTTTCGTCTTGGCCACAAGACGAAGCCATTTCTTTGAGCCACAAAGCGAAAGAACAACAATGGTACTGCAGAATCGATGCACAGAAACAAATTTGTATTCTAATATGTATTATGGGAGTCTTTTCTTAAATGCCATCCTCTTGCCTGCAAAATATCAATAATAATTATTGTAGAATATTTTGAACTACAATATAAACAATTTCAGTTCCAATTGAGGATTGCATTTTTTACAGTGTAGGCAACATCGACATCGGCGACACGACTTTTCTCTGGATAATGTTTTGCATATGTATGAGAGCCAGTAATTTGCACTTGTGTGCCCTGCCCCGCAAGTGTGTTGGTGCTTGAGTATCTGTGTGAGACCATCTAAGATGCCGCCTGGCGATGCACGCTGCTCGTTTAGATCGTCACCATTGCCAGCGTCTGCCTGACCCAACTAGCAACTAGCAACTTGCAACCAGCAACTGGCAACCGCCTGCGACCATTGAAAACACCAGAAACATTGTGCTTAAAACCAGTGAAACGTTTTGCTCTAGACACTGCTAAAAAACTCGCCTTAAAATCGCGAAATACTGCTCATTTCCACAGCCATTATTTTAGCAATCATGTATCTTTACGATTTGTGGTTCTCCTTATAATTTAACTTCGTATAACATTATTATATGGTAAAGGTATGGTAAATCTTTCTTTTGTCGAGTGTAGCTTACTTAGTTGTCTTTTCCTCCTCAAATAATCAACAGCAGCAGCACCGCAGCAACAAATGCAATAGGCAAATGTGTTACGGTCACAAATGCTTAACTTTTACTAATAGTTAACAGTTTTTGTTTTTGTCGCTGTTACTCCTATACGCAGTCGTTGTTGTTGTCGCGATTTTATAGATAAACATTCTATTTGGCAATTAATTGGCATTTTGTTACTTTTCCAGTTGGATTTGTATAAAATGTTTTTTCCCCAGCTCACGATATTGAAATGCGGTTGCTGTTTCAGGTTGCCGTTGCTAGTTGCTGGTTGCCAGTTGGTGTTGTGGGTTGCCAGTTGCTGTCGCCAGTTGCTTGGGGATTTTCGTGATTGTCAGCAATGATTATTTGGTCAACACTTGGCGGTTTCGGCTTAGAAAGTAAGCCAAACCAAAGCCGAGAGCAATCTCTGCGATGATGATGCGGCTAATTAAATCGAAGGTGGATCGAATGTGGTCCGAGGATCGCACAAGGGCCGGCATGAGCTTCCTCCGCCTTCATTTGCTTCTCCCTGGCCACGAATTTATGGCACTGGCAAGGCAATTGACATTAACCCTAACAGCGACAGATGCAGCAGCGACTACTTGCAACGTGCAACAACTGGCTGTGACTGTGACTGTGGCTGTGGCAATGGCAATGGCAATGGCAATGGGATTGGGATTCGAGAATCGCGAGTGGATCGTTGCACTTGGCACACAGATGAATTTATGTATGCAAAGCAGAATAAAAGAGGGACAGACAGGGGAGGAAACTTAAAGGGGACTAACCGAAACCGAAAGCGAGCCAAGTTCGCTTGCAAGCTGACTGACAGGACAAAAGAGTTATTTTTCACAAAAGAACAAAAATGAAAGGGAGCAATCTTTCCGGATAGTAAGGACAGGGGTTCCACAAGGCGTTCCACAATAGGAGGAAGTTAGAGTGGGGGAAGGCAGCAGGAAGAACACAAAGCAGACACAGTAGTCGCCGCCAAAAAAGTGACAGTGGTCAGAAATGCGTACTTTCTGTAAAAAATCGTCCATACTTTGCAGATTTCTTGTCCATCTGAAATCACGATGAATTGAACCCACCTGGTTGCCGTTATGGGAAAAATCAATATTTCTGAAGATTCAATATAAAATATAATTACCGAGAGGCAAACACTGTGGCACGGCGGCTTCCACCGCGCCACAAAAGACAAGTACCAGTAGCCGGAGTCGGGAAGACACAGAAGCCGGAGCATTTCGGAGCCACCTTCTGGCCAATCCAAGTCATCGCGTCCCAACGAGCCACTGAGGAAGCCTCAAATGAAATGCGCGGAAAAGTAAAAGTAAAATAAGTGCGCCAGCGATTACCAAAGACCTAAGGGGCAGTAGAATGGGCTCGAGTTGAATATTGGGTATGCAAAGAGCCGGGGATGGACATAAATTATCTTTGGCCGGGCGGCGGACAAATCTTCAGAGGCCCGACAATGTCAGAGGAGCCTGTCAATTGCAGTCGAACAAAGAGGAGAGAATCTGCGAGGAAGAGGGAGAAATAAGGAGAAGCCTGTCAGTGGACGAATCTCAGTCAGGGCAAAAGCAAAAGTACGCCAGTTGTGCCTGGGAAATGAGTCAGGATCAGGATCAGGATCGTCGCATCGAAATCGTTTGGGATGCCTGCCTGACAATTGTGAAATGCAAACGACGGCAGCGAACGGCCAAAAAAAAGCCAGGCCATGCGGAGCTTGATTAATTTATGGCCCCCGCTTCTCGCTGCCGACCCATTGTGAGCTACTGGATCTCTTGGCCCGGCCCTTTGTTTCTTGGCCTTGACTGCAGAACAGCAGTTTTGGCATTTGAATCACGACCTCGGAAAGAGCGCACCGGGCTCAAGGAGGGATAAAACAGTCGGCTTGAGAGGTGTTGTCGTTGCCACCAAGGAAATTCGCGGAAAAGTCATGAGCCTAGGGAGCACCCAACCCTGTCCGATTTCCGCTCTGGAAGCCACGACCAGGGTATAGCCAACTTTAGATCATTAGAGGGAAAGCCATAACAACTTGTGAAAAGTTCATTGGAAAGTAATGATGGTATAGATATTTAAGAAATGTTATACATTTTATATGGTCAATTAAAATTTAACATTAACATTAACAATTGCCATATATAATTAGAAAATATTATTGTTCGTAAGTTTAAGTTTGTGATTTTTCACCAATATCTTATAACCAATTTCAACTGAAATGCGATTGCAACTATCGAATTTTTGTGGCAACATGAAAAGTTCAATGTTAACAACAAATTACGCGACCGGGAACCACCCCGCACCGCCCCGCTGATCCACATCAATTGGTAAATTGAGAAATTGAAGCCTAATCAGATAAGCCGAGCGTGTGACTGCGCCACAAATGCAACAAAATAGCGGTTGCAAGTTGCAACTGCAGCAGCACCAAAAATTGATTAAATATGAAACACGCAACCACCCCTTTTCCTCCTTTGCAATCTCCCGCTAATCGCCGCATTTGAAAAATCAAAAAAATAAATTGAATTCATAAAAAGATTTATTAAATCGCAGCTTTTTTGGCAACCAGCTTCGGTGCTGCAGCTCCGAATCCAAATCGGATTTCTTATCGCCAGCTGCTGATCTGAAAACTTGCAGGCACAGCAATGGGGAAAACGAAATCTCCGACCGATTGCCCCGCGGATTCTCCGCCCTCAAGGTTAAGCATCAATTAAAAAATGCACCACCAAAGAATCTCAAATCTAATGCTGCACGGAGAAAAAAAACCGGTAATAAATAGCATTTTAAAAAGTATTGTTTTTTTCCCAAACGTATTATATTAATGTATTACCAAAAGTATTGTTTTTTTACCTAAATGGTTCCCATTCTGAACCTGTACTGGACGTTTTACCCATTTTCTATCGGAATACTTGGTAATTTTGATCACGTCGAGTTTTTTGATAACACAACTAGTTTTAAAGTAATTATGTTTTTTCTGTTTCTCTGTACGAACTTTGGAACTCCTTGACAAGAATTTGGTTGCCGTTGGCTATGGCTGTTTGTCACCAAGTGTTCATTTTACAGTCCTGTAGTGTTGATGCTGTGGTTCATTTGCATAAAACAAATTTGGTATTAAATGCTAAACGCAGCGATAAGATCAACACCGAGCTGTTGTCGTCGTCGCCTCTGTGAAAATTTGGATATAAAAAAGCAGAGTAGACAGGAACAAGAGGTTGGGCAGCTGGTTTTGGCCACTGTTCGGGCACTGGACCACTTACAAATGTCGTCGATAGTCAGCCAGCATCTACTAACGGCGCTTTATGAGCAACCATTTTCATTCATCAACAAGGGACCGGAAAGCTAAAAAAAAAAAGAGAGAAAATCCAGGGAAAATCCTCATCAGAGGCGATAGTTGGGTGGTTTGTTTGCACAACCTCATAATGAAATCACGGCCATTGAAATCATACTAACAGCAGCTAGGGAAAGACTGGATGTCTCAAAACAGACAGAAAATATTTATGGAAATTGTTGCTTAAATCAAGAAGCGCTGAATTTATCCTTCCTATTTCTCATAACGAAATTTCTATTCCATATTTTAATTCCATAATAATGTTTTATAACGAAATTTAAGACTAATGGTTTGCAAAATAGTATGCTAGTACAGCATATGTAAAATATAAGAAAAGTTGTACTACATTTCTTAATTTTCTTCAAAAGTACTTCCAAAATATGTATACTGTCATTCAATAGACTTTTCGCACTCTGTACACTTTAGTTGCTTCTTCAGTTGCCCCAGCTTCTCGGTCGTGATTCTACAATTTCTTCATTTTATTTATTTAAGCATTGCAGACATTTTTTCTTGTCTCTTGAATGCACTCTGCTTTTCCCCTAGTCTCCTATTTTTCCAACCTCTTGTTACGGCTCCGATTTAGATGCTGAGATTTGCATTAGGGAAGGTACCGTGAGGCACGAATCCCGTGATCTTCCAGACTCCA